TATATATATATATATATATATATATATATATATATATTATTATAGATATTTTATAGAAAATCGTTTAGAATTTTCGTATATATTTTATATGAATCATTCAATATTTTCCATAGACTAAATGACTCATATGATATGAATCTGATTTATATGAGATTAGTTGGCTAGGAGTACATTTAATTTACATCTAATTAAAATTGTCTCACTCTTAAATGATTATTCTTTATATGTATTTTTAAACGAATATTTTTCACGCTCTGAGCTCTACAAAAGCAAAGTAATTTTTTGTGTTTTTGCAAATTCATTTAGTTTTAATTTATTTAACTAACGCTCAAGTATTGTTTGTTGTTTAATTTTTTTTTTTTTGCTCCAATATAAATACTTTTAACTGAGTTCTAGTCATAGTCTTTCCATTATGTATATTTATATCAAATTTCAAAGCTATTTATCTGCTTTCCACTTCAGCGAATATTCTTAGGCTTAGCGCTAAGTCAGTTAAAACAAAGCACACATACAAAATAAGTTTGTTGCTTAAGTCTTTTGTTTTCTAGACGGCAGAGGCTCTCTTCTAGCAAATCTATGAGTAATACTTTTAGAACTTTTGCAAAATGATCTATTTCTATAAGCTTGAAGTCAATTTTCTCATCTGTTCAACTGCTAAGTTTAAAGAAACTAAATTTCTTTTTCTATATCAAAATCGAGTTCGTTGCCTAAGTCTTTTGATTTCTTAATCCTGATTCAGCCTTATTGTGGTTCCTTTTATAAAATATCTTATTGAGTCACCTGCTATAAGCATTTTTCCATCTGCCGGCCGTTTTTTCCACCTACAAACCCGCACTCAAGTTCGTTGCCTAAGTCTTTTGCAACACGTTTGTCCAGCTTAACACTGAATAAGCCCATAACGCACTTGCAGCATGCATAATTCATATGCCACCTATCATGTACTCTGTCCGAGTCTTTGCTATATCATCGATCATAACATAGCTCGAGCGCCTAAACCTCCCCCCCTCCCCTCTCTCTCGCTCTACCATTCGAAGTACACAAAAAGCCAAACAATCTGAGCGCATTTCCGTTTCTTAATCAATGTCAAAGCTGTCATTTCAATGGGTTAGCTTCTGTTTTTTCTCTCTCTCTCTCTCTCTCTCTTTCTGTTTTTATTTCTTAGTGCATTCTAAGAGCAACAGCAACAGCATTTGCATACAATGCAGCCTGTCGGGGCGCTCGTTCAAGTGCACTTGCTCTTGCACAATTCCCAAAAGGCAAAGTACGGCAGCCGAAAAGAATCAGAGACTTGAGCTTCCGCTACCAAAAAACAGAAGAAGTAAAAGAAGAATAAGAGGCATATAATATAATCGTATTACTCGCACTCTTATCTTCAGCCAGCATCTGTCCCACGCCCAATAAATTCAGCTAACAAACTCGCACGCAGAGCCAACGATTTAATTACATTGTCGCATGGATCGTAACAAGCATTTGAGCATTTGAGCATTTGAACTTGGGCTTATGTCACCCCCTATTTCTGCTTTGGTTTTTCATAAAGTTCATGTGCTCGTCACACTCGAGATCATCGAAAGGAAGTCGCGTCTAAAATCCAAAATATAAATGACTCTTTGATGAGTGGGCAAAGCAATTTGTTGGTGCTTGTTTTTGTGGAATTGTCATAAATCTTGTGCACTTGACAACTTAACTAAATTTAAATAAACATATATTCTTAGCTAAAGCTGACATCATGGGGGTGTACTAAAAGAATGTGCTGCTCCCTAACTAAATCGAAATTAGTTGCGTCATAGAGCACTGGAAAATAACTAGGTACTACATTGTACTTTAAGAGATTTTCTAAAAAATAGAAAATTCAATAAAAAATAAAAAACAAAAAAAATAGATAATTCAAGCTGGAGCTATAATAGAATGAAAGCTGTATAAGCCTTAAGGATGTATTGCCTTATGGGAGAGATTTTGCCTTTATTAAATTGTGATGGCTCTCGCTATGCAACGATTCAGGGCTTCGATTGAGAAACTCAACAATATTTATTCTTGCTTTGAGAATTAAAGGGAAAAATGTTTAAAAAAAGATTACAACAATTTTAAATCTTTTTTCTATTTCTCTGAGTGCAAACACTTATTGAGATATCCATCAACAATTTTATATAATTAATTTAATTTCAACCCACAAGATTTTGGTGTGTAGCAAGAAAAATAAAAATAAAATTATTTATATAAAATTGTTGATTCATATTTATGAGAAAAATTTTAGCAAATTTTCAACGCAGTCTAAAGTTGTTAAATAATTGATAAGTATTAATTATTTAATAATTATAAATATTTTGTTAATCGACTAAAATGCATGAGACAAGCGTCTAATTGCATTTTAGAGCATAATTAGAGAGCACATTTTTAATAAAAATCATATATAATTTTAAGTAAAATGTTTAATTAGTTTTAGCTGGCAAGTCAAGCGTCTAAGCGCACTTTAGACTCGCATTTGATTCATATATTTATTATTTATGCTACGCAATCAGCTGGGTTGAGTTGTTAATGGAATTTGCTATGGCTTTTAGAGACTTTTTTTGTAGAGTTTCTGATTAATATACTCATTCTTCTAGTAGTTTCAGTTGATAGAGAATAGCTTAGATTTTTTTGCCTAAGATTTTTTAGCTTAGTATAACTTAACAGAAATCACATCCTTGTAAAATATGCTCAAAGAGTGAGAAAACCAACTAAACATAACTTATTAAATACTCAAACCTTAATTAAGGGATCTACATTAAGACTTCTCTACCAAGAAGAGTTCATATAAACGAAAAATATATCAAAATGAATCATCATGAATCATATTATATGCTATAAATAAATTATGAATGGTATTCAAAGCGCCTGCCCTGCTCTATTGAACTAGTTAACCCCTTTAGCTATGTTTTGTTTTACAGCTAATTTTAGCCGCTTAAGCTACAATAGAATGGAATAAAAGATATAATCTATTATTATATATATTTTTCAATATTTCAAAGTCTCCTCTAAACATGCTGCCCCCTTTATGCATGCCCATCGTTAGCTAACCCACTTGGTTGACAATTTTTCATAAACTTTTGCACTCGACTTTGTTTTTTTTTTTTGTTTGCATTCAGCATGCGAGCTAAATTCATTTGTTTTGTTGTCCGTGGCGCGCGAGCTTTCGATTATTTAGCTTTTGGTGTGGTGCACAACCCCACCGTTTTGACCCACTGTAGCCACTGTCCACCCACATCGACGATAGATTGACGCATTATGCTTAGTCTAATGGGTTTTTAGTTTTGTTATGCGAATAAAAGCCAATCCCGAATGTGGGTCAACTGTCGACTCCGCCTCCCGTTTCCTTCCGCCTCTCGTAATGAGTTTTAATTGTGCGCAATGTTAATTCTACTTAGATTTTAGTTGTTACAACTAAACTAAACGCAAAAAGAGAGCTAATAAAATGTTAAATAAAGCGAATCGCATCCAAAACCTCCTCTTTCCCACTGTCGGTTAGCTGGTCGCGAATCCAAATTAGTTGGGACTTGGTTAAGATGGTTTCACATAAGATTTCTGCACTTACCATTCATTTCGTCCATGGGATAACGATCACGATCCCTGTCACCAGGCAGGGGCATAGTTGGCTCTGAGTGAAGAGGTGAAAAGAAATTTAGTTGGGATTAGATGGGCTCGGAATTCCGGATCGGTAATTGATTAAGCGTTTGCTAAGACCTAGAACAGAGGGGACTCTACTTTATATTGCTCATGGCCTTACTTTTATTGTTATGCATGTAGTCCCCGGGATTGAAGTAGGTGGCTATAGTCTTATCATCATCGTAGTAACCATCTGGGCGCATTGCACTACCATTGCGCCGCACATAGTCATCCCTGGGCGGCTGAGCTGAAGGTCTATCGTAGGTGGGCGGGCGAGCTGAAGAGCCAGGAGCAGGTCCCATGCCATATCCTCCATCGTGTGCTACATGCGGTGGCGGATCAGGTCGGTTCGTGTAGTCCGGTCGAGGCTCCCGATGCCCATCATAGCTAGTCGTGGGTCTTGGCTCGCGATGCCCATCGTAGCCGCTTGTGGGCCTTGGATCACGATCATAGCTGGCTGTGGGTCGGGAGCCATATGAGGGCGGTGTGGAGCTATCGTAGGGGCGTGCGGGCGGACGTGCATAATCTGGTCTATCGCTGGCATAGTCCGGTCTAGGCGCATAGCTGGGCCGCTCCCCGGAGGCGGGCCGCAAGGTCGTGGGCGAGTAGCGTTCCGGCGTGCCATAGCTGTAGCCATTGCCGTAGCCCAGCCCGAAGATGGGACGTGGCGGCCCGTGGGGCGTGGGCCGTATGACATCATCCTCGTGCGGCCCATACGACGGCCGGTAGCGCTCATCCACCTCGGGCACATTGGCCGCATAGCCGCCTGGTATGTAGACCTCCTCGTTGGGCGCCGGATAGCTGTGCTCGTAGAGCGTCGGGTATTTGTAGAGCGGATAGATTTCATGCGAGAAATAGAGACGATCGCCGACGCCCGGCGGCGGTCCAGTGGGCGGCACTGGCGGCGGCTGGGCCGGCACATCCGGATGAGTGGTGTGCGGCGTGGGATCCACGACCAGCACTGGCGTATTGCCCACATCGATCGGGCGATTGGGTAAATTCACGGGCGTTACGCCCGTACTGATCGGACTCGAAGCACCGTCCAGCTGATTGTCGCTCAAATCGAAGCAATTCGTCTTGCGCGCATACAGATCAAAGTCGGGATCGAAGATGACGCCACCGGGCCGCCCGCTCCCGCCACCATACTGCTCCGATGACAATTGACATGTGCCGTTTCCGCGTCGATGAACACTGCACAACGCGAAGTTAAAATGAGTTAAAATTGTTGTTACTCATTGAGCAATCGGACAAAATTGGCAACACGCCGCTCACCCGAACGAGATCGCCTGACACTTCTCGCCCGCCTGCAAGCACTTCTCCTTGCACATCTTCAGCGAGTTGGTGTCTTCGGTGCGGAAGGTCTTCTCAAATGGCAGCATTGCCTCCAATGCGATGCGCTCGAAGCAATCTGAAAACAAAGCCAAATGGACTTTAGTTCAATTTTCAGGTCTCTCGCTAATTGGCCAATTGCAATTGACCAAAGAAAAATCAATACAAATACAAATACAAATACAAATAAAAGTTCAGCTTATGCAATGCAGAGCCACGCCCACACGTGCAGACGGCCAGACGCCCTATTGTCACTATGATGTCACCTGCATTATTTATTCAATTCTTTACGTTTATTTATTTTTGTTTTCAAGGCCATTTTATTGTGGTTTTGCTCCACTGTACGGTAGGTTAGTTTTATTGTCTCCCCACACTTGGACGCTTTTGTTCTTTATTCAAATCGTTTCAGAATTTTATTTGGCTTGCGTGCCGCGCGGACGCAGTTGACTGCCATTAGCCCCACAGGTGCTGGCACCACAGTTGACCCCCATAGCTGACTCCAGCTCCGTATAACTCCACTCTCCCGCCACAAACGACTCCCCATGAATTATTCAAAAAGGTCAAACTAGCGACAACAGCCAAGAGACAATCTGAAAGACCAGCAATATTTGTATTGCCCTCTGCCCGGCTAGCTCGTGTCGATGATTAATGATGGATTAGACCATGTGCTTTATGAGCTGTGCTCGTTGCGCCATTATGGCATGTGGGTGGCAGTTGGAGCTGTGATTTGCGCCTAAATGTAATAGTTGGCTATGGAAATAGATTTTTATTGTTTTTTTTTTTTTAGAGTGAGCAAAAGAGTGTAGCAATGCAATTAGGGGTAAGGGAGAGTGTAATGTTGAATAGTAAAGTATTAAGTAAGGCTACTTGATGTCGCATATATCGGAAATTGTTTGTAGCGTCGCTTGTCCCTGATAACTCATGTTGGTATGCTAAATTCACCCTTAACCTCCACTGAGTAGCACTTGATCTTTGAAAAGAATACAGATAGACTTTTAGTCATATCTTTTCGAATCAGGACTAGGAGCTCTAGACGCTAGGAACTGGCAACTTGGTCTAGAATTGTTCTAGTCAATATATTGACTTTACTCCATCTCGCTATTCCTGCTTAAGATCACTGTAATTCTATAATGCCTTTGGAACTGCTTTAAGCCATTGAGCTTCTAGAGCCGCTCTTAAATAGAATTCCATGAAGATCTTCAAGTCTGCTCAAGGTGTAAGTGTTCTCTGCAAAATCTTGGCTCTAAATAGCCCTAAGGAACAGCGTCAACCCTTGCATAAACTCTTAGCTACACTTACAGTTGTATGAGGTTGATAGATCATAAGGAAGACCCTGATTCGAGCTTACTAAAGAGAATACAGAGAATATTTTCAATAGTTTAATATAGCTATCTAGGCATATAGTAATCTTTTACTGTACTTATACTGAATGATGAAAAGTAAGTGGTATAAATTATAACTCTGTTTCTATTCTGTTCTATTAACCCGAAACCAAACTTTTATTTGTCATCTATTTCATCTCTCACGTTATTTACAAACTATAAATAGCTCTAGTAAAAAACTCAACCTATAATTATACATTATAACCAATACATAGACTACTCCAAGCATTACGAACTATTCTAGGTCTATAAGAACCAGTTGGCATATATCTAAGGTCTAACTGTTGCTTGCTCAAGAATATAAAAGTATTTCATTTTTATAGACGTTAATGGGTCCATAAAAACCGCAGCGAATACGTAATTAAAATGATATGTTAATTGTTTCATCCGCTTTGTTTACCCCCCCTACCCTTCTACAATGTATTGCCCCGGAACTTACCATTGCGCGCCGAGACCAGCTGATTGTCCACGGTGAGCGCAGCTGCCGCATCGGCGAGCAAGTGCAGCATCCAGAGGAGCAGCAGACGCCGCCGGAGCGCAATGTTCATCATTTCACTTGGTAACGGTACAAATAATTTCCCTTTTTTGTTTTTTTGCACAAGATTTTCCCACTGTTTTTTTGCTGTTGTGTTTTATCACTTGGTCACTTCCTTTGGCATTCTCGTGGAGAGTTTTGGGTTAAGTGGACTGCTTGGATCGACGGGAGCTTGGGAACTGAAAGACAGCGCCAAGCGCTAGCGTCGTAGAAACCTTCTGCTTCTGCTCTTTCTTCACTTGTGTTTGTTTTTTTTTTTTTTGTGCTTTGTATCTTTCTCTCCTTTCTTTTTGGATTATGTTCGCGTGCCAGTGGGCATCATTTCTTTAGAGCAGTTTTATGTAGTTGTAGTTGTTTCTTTATATATATATATTTTTTTTTTGTGGCTTTCGCGTTACGTTTCGCTACTTTTCACATTCTTTTCACCGTTAATTATATTGCCAAAATATGCAGATCGTTAGCCGAGCCGAGTCGAGCCGAGCTGAGATGAGATTGGATGAGATGAGATGAGAGATGTGGGAGATCTCATTTATTTATGCGTTCACTCAAAAGAAATTCAGTTCTTCTTCTTGTGTGTGTGTGTGTGAGGGAGAGAGTGTGGGAGACTGAGGGCGTGTCAGTCATTAACTGAACTTTAGTTGTCTTCCTTGATTGCGTCACTAGAACTCGCTTAGAGGCCTTTTGACCTTTTGCGACAAAAGTTTTTCGGCCACTTCGTAATTAAGCATATTTGAATGACAAAGTGCTCAGCAATGCGTAAATACAATTGCCATCATTGCCGTCGCACTTGGCCAAATGTAAATATCAAATACAAAACAATAACAAATATTTAAAAAATTAAAAATTTATTAAAACAAAAAGATATAATTAGCTAGAGTCAGCGACTAGCAGATGCCCTAAAGTATAAGCAGAGTTTGTTTTGGCAATTAATTATAGTTTTCTACATCAAATACTTATGGAAACGCTTCCGTACATGCGCGCACACTCTCTTACTATTGAGTATATGACCTCTAATAACTTCGGTTCCAGATGTACAATATTTATAAAATTTTCAGAGCAGTCAAGGCTTGAGCTACATGAATTTGCATTCATCTTTTGGAGGATAGGGGCGTGATATCCCAAGACTAAAATGTTCATTGTCTATATATTCTCCTATATATTCTACATTTGAAATCTTGTATATATCGCTTTAGCAGACTTCGAGTTATGAGAGATAAGGCGAAATTATTATTGAGAATGGAGTTAGGCATGGCCCAAAAATAATGGACTTCAACTGCTTGCACTATAAAGTATATTCACTCCAAGTTTCAGCACTCTCGCTCGTGTAGCTCGCGAGTTCCGATAGATGGGCAGAGTTACAAAAGTATATTACTAGCTCAGCTGCGCCCATTCAACTCATTCCTCCAAGGATTACATGTGCTTTGACTGCTCAGCCACGCCTACTCCTATCTGTTACGTACATATCCATGAAATACTTAAGCTCTCTACACCCCCATTTTCAGGGTATGCAAAACAGCTTAAAAGCCCGCTGATTAGTCAAAAACGTTTAATTGCTTGTCGCGAGCGAAAGAGACAGCCGAAGAGCGGGTCGGAGACAGGCAAAGACGCCGGCAATTAATTTATTATGACAGCTTGAGAAAAAAGATAAACTTCAAATTATGAATGATTTATTGAAAAAGCGACTCGGAATAATTATGAAAAAAAAAATATATTATGATTATTATTTTTTTTTTTTTGCATATAGGCAAACTTCTGAAATTCGTTTTTGTTTTATTCTTGCTGTTTTGCAAATGAAATTTCACTCGGGCGTTAAGTTTAGTGGGCAGATTCTCACTTTGGTCTTTCCGGCCGAATTATGCTGAGAAGTGTAACGGTAAAACTCTTGATTAGCTAGCTTCCGTTGCGCTTTGACATTTTTGGCAAAGCGGTTAATGACAAGCAATCGCTCTCTCGCTCTAGCACACACACGCACACGCACACACAGAGACCCACCCTTACAGCTGCAGTGCAATTTCAGTTTTGTTGCTTTCTTGTTTTGCAATTCTTTTTCTATTCTTTTTGTTGCCGTTATTGCTGTTGTTGTTGCTTTTCTTTGGCCGCTTTCGTTTCGCGTTTGGTTGCGCTGCGTTTCGAACTCGAACTCGCCGATCCGCACTCGCTAAACAATTGAAACTGAATAAAAAATTCTGATTTAGTTGTATTCGAAACTCATTGGATGAGCAGCAAAGCAGCGCAGTTGACGCTGACGTCAACAGCGGCAGCGCTGCCAGCAGCACACTCTTTTGTTGCTGTTGTTGCTATTACTGTTGTTGCTGTTGTTGTTGTTGTTAGTGGCATTTAGCTTCGCATTTAGCTTTGCCTGGCGGCAGCGAAGTTTGGCGCTTTAGAGTTCATCATTATGATCATTAGCTGCGCCCACTTGAGACGCGGCAGCGTGCGGCCCAGCTTGGGCTAGCTGGGGGCTGGGGTGTCGAACCTGGCTGGCGCTTGCCTTGGAGGCAACTTCATTATGGTCGATGTCTGCTTCTTCTGCTTTTTCTTCTCTTTACATCGCCGCCGTCGTCGTCTTCTTCTTCTTGCTGCTGCTGCTTTTGCCTGCCGCCATTTCCTCTAATCGCTTGGGAATGACTCACGTAAAATTATTTCAATCAGAAATTGTAGCGCAACAAATTTCGATTGCGAGTCGCACTTGGAATGCCTTTTATATATAAATTTTTATCGATGGGAGTTTTTTGTATTCTTTTTTAATAATTTGTAAAAAATACATATATGCATTTTTTATATAAATTTCTAATTTTTTCATAATAATATATAATATAATAATTATTATTTTATATTTTTAATAATAGCATTATTGACAACAATTTTTAATAAAATTATAATAAATAAATATAATAATAAATATTGGCATTGTTTTAATCTATAAATATATCTGTTATTTATATTCTTTATATAATGATTTCTATCATTAGTAAAATATTATAAATTTATTATTTAAAATAAAATATAAAAATGATTTATAGTTGGATTTACTCTACTATATTTCAAATTAAAATTCTTAACTTTAATAGAAAAAATGTAAATAAAATCAAATTTTCGAACTGCTAACTTTAAATTGAATATAAAAATAGAAAATGATTTAAAAATATTTTTTATATATATAAAATTATGCTCCATAATTATCATTAAAACTAAAAAAATATAACGATGCCTATTTAAATTAAAAGTTATATCTGACTTTATGTGTATATATATGTATATAGTGTATACACAAGGCGTGATTACTTATGTGTGCGCAATTAGAGACAAGTGTTTGGGTTCTGCAATCGTTAGCTGTTTAGATCTTTTCTAGCTGTAGAATTAGTAGAGCAGTTGAATTAGAACCAACAGCTCAAGCACCAGCAACAGCAACAGCAACAGCAGCAACAGATATAAAGAACCAGAACTTAAAGGAATGGCATAATAATAATCTTAACTTGAACTAAGTTTACGCTTTGTTAGAGCCACTAAAAAGAGCACAATTCAAATTGCTCGGCCAATGCACCTTCAAAACTTGGCTTTAACTTTTATTATTTTTTTTTTTTTTTGCTTTTGCTTTTTTGGTTTCCAGCGAACAGCTGAAGCGTTAATTGGTGCAAGTTTTCACTGCAGCCAAAGGTGTTGTGCGTGCGAGTGTGCGTGTGTGTGTGTGTGTGTGTGTGTAATTTTTGGGGGGCCTTATAATTGGCGACACCTTTAAGTGTCGACCTTGTCATGCTCGCTGACGTCGTCTAATTCAGGCCGGGGCTGTTCTTCATCAGCGCCTCTGCCAACTGATGACGCTCGCTGTCGATGTTGATGTCGACGGCGACAGCGACGGCGACGCCAGCTGCGCAGTCAGCAAGCTTTAAGCGAGCGTATCCAGCAATAAGGAGCAGCAGCAGCAGCTAGAGAAGCAGCTGCCCAAGCTGAGCTCATTCTGAGACTCGATTCTCAAACAGGAATTCCTTAGAATAAAACCTTTAAAAATGTTAGGGTGTGCTTTTAATGGGCAGTGCATGACTAATAGCTACCCTGTCTAGTTTATTGACATGTAGTTTATAGCATATATTGGCTACTTGGTTCTAACATATCCATTAAATTTTTAAAATATGTTTAATATTATTAAAATACTTACTCAATCGAAAGATTAAATTAAAGACTTAATTTGACAGTTTTACATGTAGATCAGTTGTGGATAAACATGAAGATCAAGATTCGAGGTTAGAAGGAAAGAGAAAGATCTTATAACTTATAAGAATTACAGACTGGACTTAGGAGCTCTCCATAAAGTTTGTGCACTTACGGGTACTCCTAATGGGTTTAATACAATATACAGAAGCGTGCATAGACAAATGAGAGATTTTTATATTAACTAAGATTTATTTATGAACTGGCATATACGTAGTTCCTGCGATTTCTAACACATTCTATTGTCTATTAGATAACTTCTAAGAAACACTATATACCCTGTTCACCCATGTACCACTGAGTTCACTTCGTACACAGAACCAATTAAGCTATATAGGTGCAGTCCACTCCAGTCCAGTCGAAGGTCAGCTAGCGAATTTCTGTCGGAATTAGCATATGCCAACAGTTCCAAAGAAGAAGCAGATGTTGCGCCTCTTGCTATAAATTTGGCATTTGTTGAGATTGCACAATTCGCACCGATTTGATTATCTTGATATTTCGATGCTCTTTTATTTTCGTTGTGGGCTGCTCCACATTTTTGGATTCCAAAAAATTTTGCGTTTCAAACAAAAAAGAAGAAACAAAATGTCGCTTAGGAATTCAACAGGCGAACAGCGAATGGCGCACGCGTCTCACATGACAAGTGCACAGAAGCAACAACAACAACAACAACAACAACAACAATTGACAACAACAACAGTAGCATTTGGCAGCACGTTTTGCAGCGTGAAAAATTTCCATATATCGCGCGTGTCTAAGCAAAAATAAATAAATAAATAGGAGCCGATATCGAAC